CGTATATATATATACGTATATATATATATAAAGATCGATCAGAAATCAAATCAGAAACTGTGAGCCTGATTTCAAAAGGGGAAGAAAAAAAAAGAAGAGGGTAGGAAGAAAAAGAAAGAAAAAGAGAAGGAAAGAAAAGAAAACAATAACAGACTGACATACAAAACCACAGTCCAGTTGTCTGTTGGGGCCTGGAACAGGTGGCTGTGCTGGTCTGCAGGAGAGGCCATCTGGTTTGGTCAGTGTCAGTTCCACTTTGGTAGATAAGCAGTTGCCAGGCACAGAGGGGTGGGGTTTGGTGTAAGCCAGTGGCCTCCACTGCAGGCTGCTCTCCTGTTCCCTGAAGCCCCACTGTATTGGTGATGGGGAGAAAAACGGCAACACCCCGGTCTGTCCTCCCCAGACCAGTGTCTCAAACCACACTGTTTAGGCAGCCCTCACAGAATAGCGCCGTGGGCGGCTTGTCCTGTTCCACAGTCTCCCATGCCTCCTAGGTGCTCGGCTGGCATTCAGAACCCACTGTCTTAAAGGGTCCCGCTTCGTGCAGACCTGGTTCTGGGGTAGTACCACTCCGCCCAGCCGACACAGGGCCTCTGGCTGGCAGGTGCCTGCAGGATCTTTTGTCCTTGGGGGGGCAATAAACCCTCTTCCCACAGTACTCGAGGGAAGGGACTGTTCTCTCCCAGTGCTCCCTGAGGTCGCTACTGTGCCCCAGGGCTGGGCTCCCCTTTCCCCCCAGACTTGTGCACACAGGGACATGTCCAGGCCAGTGCCGGGAAAGTCATGTACCCCTGAAAACTCTGATCTTCACTTCTAAGGCCGTTTGCAAAGTAGAAACGGCAAAGTAGAAACTCCTTTATTTCTTGTTCCCCATTCATGCTCTTGAGAGGTTTTTCTTTTGTCCAAACACAATACTATGCTTCCTTCGCCTCTCTTTCTCTTCCTTTTGTCTCTCCACAGAAGGGGTCTCCTCCCCTCCATGCCTATGCTGCCCACCATTTTATCTTTCTCAATTCACAAACACACACCTCTGTCCCACCAAGCTGTCTCTGTCCATCTGTAGAGATTTTTCTGTTATTCTGCACTCTGTATTCTGTTCTAAGTGTTCTGACCTCAGGACAGCTGTATTTGAGGCATGAGGGAAATCCCAGTCCCCCTACTTCTCTGCTTAATCTTAACTCCAACCTGAAATTTTTATTGTTTTGATTACAAACGCATTTAACATTTTTTAAAAATTTATTTTGTGAGACAGCGACAGTGTGAGTGGGGGAGGGGTGGAGAGAGGGAGAGAGAGAGAATCCCAAGCAAGCTCTGTGCTGTCGGCACAGAGCCAGCCCTGCATGGGGCTCGAAGTCATGAAACCATGAGATCATGATCTGAGCTGAAACCAAGAGTCCGATGTTTAACCGACTGAGCCACCCAGGTGCCTGTACACATGCATTTTAAATCATGAAATATATTAATTTAATATTGCTTTTTACCCACTAACATATAATGAAATGATTTTATTCAGTATTTAAATGGATTTGTAAGATAAATATCTTTGTTGTTACTAAAGCCACTTTGAGAGTCCTGTAGCAGTTTTTTAGAGCACATCTTCACTTCCATCTAAGTTGACTGAAATACAGAAATATTTACATTTTGTATATGATGCAGTATATCAGGGGTTAGTAAAGGGCCAAATAACCAACCGTTGTGTAAATAAAGTTTTGTTGGAACACAGGCATACATTCAAATTGTCTATGGCTGCTACAGTGGCAAAGTTAAGTAGTTGTGACAGAGACCATATGGTCCTCAAAGCTGAAGATATTTACTGTCTAGCTCTTTACAGAAAAAATTTATTGAGCCATTCTATATATGATACTGTCACTGGAAATGTTATCCCAAATGCAGAGGCCTTTCTCACATAACTGTGGGATCTTTAAAATGTTTACAGTGTTATCTGACATGCTCAGTATGAGGTGTTGAATTTCCTTGTCTTTCTCTTTTTTAGTGGGGGAACCGTTCATCAGAGGATCTCTAGCCAAAACTAAAATAAATAGATACATAAATAAATACATAAATAAATAAATATCCAAAACTATCATTGGCTGAGGTCCTTTTAAGCTTATCCGTCTTCTGCAAACAGTGCTTTAGTGTTTTTAAGGGAGTGGTTTTATGAGGACTCAAATACAAGGCAACCCACTATTTTCTGAGCAATTTTTAAATTTCATGATTATATCAGTGTTCTCATTGTATCTATAACATTGAATGCACAAAGCCCCAAATGTTACTGGTTTAAATTTCTATATTAGCATGGGATTTCTACAGACCTTTCATCAGACATTAATTGCCTGGAGCTCTGAAGTTGGTGGGAAATTTCCTGTTGCAGGAAATTTTAAAAATTTACCTATGTGCAGGTATTTTTCAATTAAATTAAAAAACTGTGGGACAACATTAAGAAAGAAAAAGTTAATATTAACTAGCAAAAGCCATCTTAGTTGAAGTGTATAGCAAAGGGAATGTAGGACAGGAAGAGAATAAGATTAATAGACGGAATGGAAACTGATCAGTTGTCAGGTTCCAGGGAGTGTGATGGGTACAACATTTATTATCCCTCTTCTTGGCTTTTGAGAGGGAAATTTGGAAATATAAATCTTATTCCCGAGGTATGTATAGTAGAAAAATAAACTCCATATACTTGAAGAAAATGAAAGAAAAGGAGTACCACCTGTGAATCTGGGATTTATATAAATTTTTAATTAACTGATTTTCTTAAAATTAAGGGAGGAACCTCCCTACGTGCTCCTTTTCCCTCCTCCTTTTATTCTATTGAACAAAAAACTTCAGTAGATGTTACCTCTAGCTTTTTAAAATGTGTTTAGAAATTTTAAAATCAGCTGAGTTCTTGCATTCTTAAATTCTTGCATTCTTTAGTTTTATAACTAAAAAGAGGTAGCACAGGAAATTGGAAGGTTATTCTAATTCTCTACAATGATAGAAACAGCCAAATTGACCTCAGAAGATAGAAATCTAAGAATGATCATTTACAAAAGAAAGCACAACCTTAAGTCCACAACTAAGCCAGAATGGCTGCTCCTCCTAAAATAAATATAAGCTTTGTAATACCTAGAACTTGAAGTCATCTTTAGCACCCCACTCCGGGTATTGATGTATCTGCTACCCTGCCAATTTGTGTAATACAAAATAGGTTTAACTCTCCTATTTTGATACAAAACCATGTGGACATTTGCCAGAGAGGCCTAGTCTTGTGAAACAAAGCATGATGGCTTTTGATAATTCTCTGGATTAAAGGGTTAGGAACAAATTGCTCACTCACTTCTGTTGTTAAATGGATATAGAGAGAGCTAAGGAAGCTGAAGATAGATATCTGCCTGCTGATCATTAGGAGTAAAATACAGGAGCTTTATGGTTTGAACCAAAGTACCTCAACAGGTTCCTTCTCTAGATTACAAATATGTGACTCTGTTACAGGAGAGAATGTCCACCTTGGTTCTGGAGATGGGCAGCCCAAAGATTCTGGGCCCCTTCCTCAAGTGGAAAAGAAACTCAAATGTACAGTTGAAGGCTGTGACCGGACATTTGTGTGGCCAGCTCACTTCAAGTACCATCTCAAAACTCATCGGTGAGCATATCTGAGGTTCCATGCTTAGAGGTCAAGAACGGTGATGCTTCTGGAGGAGCTTGTCCCTCAATTGACAAAGGAAAGCAGGGGCTCCAGTTTACTCGTGATTAAGATGTCTTTTGTTCTTTAATGGAAAGATTGCGTTGTCTCATTTACCTCATTCTTTACAGATATTTAGTAAGACATTTGGCACTTAAATGTGCCAAAACATAAAACATAATTTTTGGGGAAACTTAAAAAAAAAAAGTAAGTGTGGGCCCTACTCTCAAACCTATGAAAATCAGTATTCAACAAGTAAGGTGTGGGCGCCTGGCTGGCTTAGTAGGTAGAGCACGCAGCTCTTGATCTTGGGGTCGTAAGTTCAAGACCCACATCAGGCGTAAGATTACTTTAAAAAAAAAAAAGGGAAGGCAGTCCTGGGCATCTGTAGTTTTAGCAGACATCAGGTGATTCTGACATACCTAGGTTTGGGAGTTACTGTCTGCTTTGAGAGGCAACAGGAGCTGTGACTTGCCCTTTCTAGCAAAGAGCATTTTCAGGTATTGGTGCTTATGTGATTTGTTTTTGTTTTGTTTTGTTTTGTTTTGTTGTTGCAGAAATGACCGCTCTTTCATCTGCCCGGCGGAAGGTTGTGGGAAAAGCTTTTATGTGTTGCAGAGGCTGAAGGTGCATATGAGGACTCATAATGGGGAGAAGCCCTTTATGTGCCCCGAGTCTAGCTGTGGTAAGCAGTTCACTACAGCTGGAAATCTGAAGAACCACTTGCGCATCCATACAGGTGTGTGCAACCCCAACATTCCTGCAGGCAATCTACCACTTGGCTCAGGGTTTGCTTGCCTATCCTTAGAAAGGCTCTGAGGTGGAAATAGAAATGAAGGTCTAGGGTTGTTGCTAGAACTCGAAAAGTGGAATTTCTTTTTTTCACATGCTTCGTGGCACTTTTCAATTAATTCAGTCACATTTATTGACTTTTCACCTGTGTGTGAGGAATGGACAGTGTTAATTTCTGCCTCTAGGAGCTTAAAGTGTAGGAAGGCATATAAGACCTTCTCTGATAACAATGATATGATGAGATATGGACAAAATTAGTATTGCTAAATTTCTTCAAATGTTACTTGGTTGTAATTTTGGTCAGTAATATTTATTGAATTATACAAACCATACAGAGCCTCTTCTAGCCACCAAATGGGGTAAGGTGGGGGGAAATACAAAAGCTAATTTTAACCCCTGACTTTGAGGAGTTTGCTTTCTTGTTAAAGCCTCACAACATGAGAAGCAAAATGGAAAAGTGACTTGATTTGGGTCCAGTGGCATGTTAATACCAAAGGACCACGATAAAAATACCTTGACTCTCATTCTGAGAGTTTAAGGGCGACTTTCCAAGCCTAAAATGTGCTAAGTCTCTTGTCAGAGTTTAATCACTGAACCAAGACTGGTCTCTGAGGATGTGTAACTGTTCTTCCCCCTCTCTTGCCACTTTCTTTGTCTCTTCTTTATTCTTGCATTGCTAAAACAATAGCAAATACAATTAAAGGGCATTAAAAAGTGAAACTTGTTCCAGGTATGCCCCTGTGATTCCTGCTAGAGTGCCATTACCACTGGATATGTTTTAGGGCAGAATAGCTGTGTTCTCAGCTCTTTCTTGAGAGAGTAAACTGTACTTGCTCCAAGAAGCAGTTTGAATGAAAGAACAAGAAAAACATCTAGCTGAATAGATTAGGGAAGAAGTAGATAGAGTTCACCGTACTTGATTTTTGAATTCATTAACCCATTCATCTTCGTGCTGCAACTTATGTTTGTAGATTTGATAAAACTGAACATCTTAAAATGCTTCCTTTTACTTTGGGGCATGACCTTATTTTCTCTCTTCATTCTAGCTCTTTCTAGCTCTCCCTTGTTAATCTCCTCTAATTGTTCATCATTTTCAGAATTTCATGTTTCTCCCATTTCACTCAGTGTGCTCTCTCATTGCAGTCTCAGGGCTCAATGTGATCATTTCTCCCTGGATGCCTCACAGATCTGAGTCGCCATAATTAATATAATAATAAAAGTTAGCATTTATTGACACAATTTAATATGGGTCTGGCACATACACATTATCCCATTTAATTCTCAAGGATACTTTATGCATGAGATACTGTATTTGTTGATGAAGAAACCAGAGATTAGAGTTAAATAACTTGCCCAACATTACACAGCTAGGAAAAGGCAGGGTTGAGATTTGAATTCTGATCTGACTCCAAAGCTCTTACAAGGATTTTGATTTCAAATGCTGATAATTCACATTATCTCAAATGTCAAAACTGAGCCACAGTTTTGGTCTTTATTAGTAGTAACGATAGTAATTAAAGCTACCAATTTCAGTGGCTTACCATGAGGGCTGACTATGTGCCAGACACTATGCTGAAGATACTTGTAGTGTCTCAGTTCTCAAAATAATCTTTCGAGATTGTATTGTGTTAATTTTATAGAGAAAAAGCTGCTTCTCAGAGAGGTCAGCTATCTTCCCTGTACTAATAAGTGGTGGTGTCAAGATTTGAACTCAACATTAATGGACTCATGCTCTTAATCATTACGCAGCATTGCCTCTTGACCATCCTCTTCTCCTGTGTCTTTTCCTTTCAGCAAAAATCACCATCCTCTCAGTTTCCAAATGCGAAGGCCATCTCACCTAAGCCAGCTTGATGCAGTGATTCATGCCACTAGATTCTGATGAGTCTTGTTCTAAGGCTGTAATAACAAGTATATTATTCATTTATTTGGCCACTTTTGAGTGCCTAGCATTTTGGGGTAGGTGTGAGTATATAAACATGTTTTCAGAAAAGTTACAGACCACTCACTGGAAAGTCACAAACATTAAACTGTGGTACAGTCTGAAAGAACAGTATAATCTAGAGCAGTGTTGTCCCCCCTTCCATGCCCAGCTCCCCTGTTGTCACCGTGTCAGCTTTAGTTGCCGGGTAGGGAAACTCGCTCTTCCTGGGTTTCTCCTTTACTCTCACACTGCTGCCACACTGACAACACTTCTGACACCAAATGTGTGAGGATTGTTCCCATACCAAACAATTCTCTGCAATACCAGCTGGGTGTCCTACAATTTAACTTAATTCTAACACTGTCTATCTGTAGATAGCATCAGATCCCACAGATCAAGGGCTCAGTCCCACAAGATTGTTCCCATGCTGCTTCAGATGGCAGTTGCAAGTAGTAGGTTCCCACGTTGCTCACAACTTCTGTCTGACCAGGCTACAAATCAGAAGTTCCCATGATCCTCCTTTGGATTCAGTTATTTGTGAGAACATCTCATAGAACTCAGGGAAACACTTACTTACATCTACTAGTTTATTGTATAATAAAGGATATGCTAAAGGATACAGATGAATAGCCAGACAAAGAGATATATAGGGCGAGATCTGGAAAGGTCTGAAGTACAGGGATTTCTGCCCGCATGGAGTTGGAGTGTGCTACCCTTCTGGCGTGTAGTTGTGTTCACCAACCAGAAAGCTTCCAGACCCTGTACTTCGGGAATTTTATAGAGGCTTCTCCATGTGGGCATCATCGGTTATTAATTTCCATGTCCAGCCCCTCTTCCCTCTCTGGAGAGTAGGGGATGGGGCTGAAAATCCCAAGCTTCTAATCATGGCTTGGTCTTTCTGGAGAGCAGCCCTTATCTAGGAGCCCACCCAAGAGTTACCTCACTAGAATAAGAGACACTACTATCACCTAGGAAATTCCAAGGGATTTAGGAGCTCTGTGTCAGGAACCAGAGGCAGAGACCAATAGGTATACTTCTTATTTTACACTTGCTATTTTCTGAACTTGTCCTGGGCACTCTTAGTTTCAAGGCTGTGCTCACACTGTTCTTTGTGCCTGAAATTCCCTTCCTTCCTTGTCATCTTTTAAGATCAGCTTAAATTCAGCTTTAAAAAAAAAAAAAAAAATTACCACAATTAGAATTCCTCTCTTTTCTAAATACTTACAGTACTTTTTTTGTACAGAAACTTACATTAAA